GATATAGGTTCCGGACACTCCCAGTGAGTTATAGCAGGGACCGATCGTCTTGTTAGGTCAGTTAGTGTGACCAACCCATTAAAGGGGAGTTTTGTCCACGGGAGCGTATTTTGTTTGGTTATTTTGCTTGACTCCTACCCGCTGTACCCCATCAACTAAGAGATTATCCAAGTGTCATCCAAGGACAGCGAGTGTCAACCCATCCGCTCGGGGAGACGCGCCCGGTAGCAGTATCTCTTCTGCCCCGTGTGTGTGTGTGTGTGTGTGTGTGTGTGTGTGTGTGTGTGTGTGTGTGTGTGTGTGTGTGTGTGTGTGTGTGTGTGTGTGTGTGTGTGTGTGTGTGTGTGTGTGTGTGTGTGTGTGTGTGACTAGGTGACTTGCTTATAACTTTCGAACGACTGAACCGATTCGGACCGATAGAAGAAGATTTAAGAAATCTTGAAAAATCTCAAAAAAAATAAGAAAAAAATCATCTTTGAAAGTGGTTTTTTTGGAATATCTTTTAAACGGCTCACAAATACCGTAGTTAAAAAATTATTAGTACGACTGTCAATTAGTCCTCGCGTTTCTTGTCTTCACGTTTTAGAAAAATATACGCCATGAAATGAAATAAATCTTTCTCCATAAATTCTTATTCACCTTTATGATGATCTCTATTGCAGGACATTATCAAACTCGTAATCGTTTAAAAGATGTTAATGAAAGTTTATGAAATATCATATTATTTTTTTTTCTATCTTAATAATTTTTCAAGCAGTGCCACGGTAGCAATGGGAATTACGTAGAGAATCATATTCGATATTGACCGTCGATATAACTGTAGAAAGTAAAAAAAAAATAGAAAAAATATATTTTTCAGTATTTTTCTATAGAATGAACGTGTGAGGCATGCACTTTTGGATTTTCTCAACTTTTTTTTTAGTTTTTCTATTGCTATTTTGAAAGAAAACGCTATCTTTTTAACCAAAGAATATTAAATTCTTGAAAGTAAACAAAATTTTTTTTAGTTGAAGAGAATCATTCTTGGATGACGAATTTAATTGTAACGATTACACATAATATACTTTTCATCGAAAATTTACATCTCTCAATCTAAGATGATAAGATTCATCAAGAAAATAAATCCTTGAAAGGACACAAGGTGACAAAATAATTTCCATACACATCAAGAATATCTCTCTTCATTTAAAATATTTTTTTTATCAGAGTAAAGAGATTACTCTTTATACTGTAATTATTAGTTAATCTGTTATGAGTGTTATGACATAAAAAAAAAGCAAAAACAAAAATTGTAAGCGTTGTACTAACCTGTAGAATACGTAATGTTGTAAGAGAAAAAGTACATCAAAAGCAACCGAAAAGAAACCGAGACCGAATTTCGTAGGGTCACCAAAAATACTCTTCCAATCATCTAAAACAATCATTTTGTAATTCTTTGATTATAATTATAAATCATTTTGCTTTATTTAAAATTGATAGCAAGTAGCTATTTACAGTACTTAGAGATATCGAATAACCAATTTAATATAATATTCATTTAGTTGTAAAAATATTCTATGTTAGTATCAAATTATCTTACCGTAGTTGTAGGCATTTAATACCATCTGAAGCATAGAAAGTATTCCACCCGTGAAATCTAATATTATGTTACCAATACTCCACCCAACTGTGGATTTTCTTTTAAAGTTATAAAATGCTTGTGGTATGTATTTTATTAATGTAATAATTAATTTAATGTAACTGCATGAGTAAAGAAAATCCAACCATTTAATTGTTCCAACAACTCCTAAGACAATTAATATAATTATTGTTGCTGTGAATAATCCATGAATAATTCTAGCGGTGACTGATACTTTTTGGGTACCAACCTGGAAAATTTATTAATGTTTTCTTTTTAATTAGTATTATATTATTGTGTAACGATTATTTGATTTGAGAATTTAATAAAAATATCAGGTCTTCATTGATACCTCGTAGAAGAAACATTGTCCAATTGTAAAGGCAGTTGCAAAAAATGCATGAATAGCAAAGAAAATGTCATTTATTTGAACTGGATTCAATCCTTTAGGATATCGGCGAAAGTATTCTAACTGAAACAAAAGATTGGAATTCTTGATGTTTTTTTCAATATATTTCGTTTTATAAATAATAAAATTACGAACTTCGATTTCTGGTATCCAATAAAGTCCACAGTTGAATAGAGAATATAAAAAGAACCCCACAATATTGAGTGACAAAAAGTCAAAATTCAACCCTACAACGCTTTTTCGCTTGTAATTCGTGTAAATTTGTGGGTAGAAACTGATACTCCATGCCAAGAAATATATCCAGCCAACAACTTCACTTATATAGTATATAATTGTTGATCTCTCTATTGTTACTCTAACAAATGCATCGGCAAAACTGTTACATAATAAATTATTGTTAGTTTATTATTAAGAATCATAAATTTATAGGTAATTTTACTGCGTTAACGTCACATTAATTTATCAATTTTAAGTTGTAAAAAAAAAAATGCTATTCGGCCTCTCCCGAAATGGAAGGTAGATTTCATGTGATATGAGATTTTCTTTATTTATGTTATTTAATTTGTTGAATAACAAATGTTTATGTAATTTTTAAATTTTCAATCCGCTATAACTTTTAAACGAGTTAACCGATTATCACGTAGTTGACAACAGTCGATGCAGTTTTTTTGAATTCTATGATGAATTTCAAACCGTGAATTGATCAGATAAAAAATTTTGGAATTTGTTTGAAAAAAACGCTTTTTTCGATTTTTTTCAACGATATCTCAGAAACGAATCAAGCGATTTTGACCGATCCGGCGGCGATCGACGTAGTTTTTTGATGTTAAGAGCTGATTAGTTTTTGAAATCGGTCGGTAAATCTGTTTAAAAGTCATTCTAAAAAAACGATATTTGAAAAAAAGTTTTCATTATTTTAAAATTTTCGAATGGCCCATAAAATTAATAAAAATCTTCATAAAGTATAAGTGTTATTGGTCAAATTGAAGGTAATCTAATATATATATACATATATAAATTTTTTAACCAATGGTGTTTTTGGAACTTATTTGACTAATTATGACATATGATAGCAAAATCAGGTGAAAATTCCACCATGAGGACTAATGCAATAGTTAGATTTCTAACAAAATCTACCTAAAAAATCACAAATCGAACGATGGTAATAAAATTTTCATAAGTCGATGGAGAAAAAATAATGTACGTATCAAATGAAGCACTCTAACTACAATATTTTCATATAATTTTTATAATCGATAGAATTCTAAGTAATTAAAAGTAGTGGAACTGGAAAAGTAATATTACTCACCTTGGGCAGTAAATAAGAAAGCTTCAAATCACATGTTTATTAACCTCGGCTTCGCCTCGGTCAACATTACATTTGATTACATGTGATCTGAAACATTTCTTACTTTACTGCCCTAGGTATATAACATACTATTTCTATTACATTTATTTTCGTGACTCTATGTCATGATCACACTTGGCGCTATGAATACTGGATAGTGTTTTGCAACTCTCTAGTAATTATGTAGTATTTATATATATATTCTGTTTGAGATTTACTTTAAAATTTAGTGATAACTTTATTTTTTTTGTAACGCGGACATTTCGTGTCAAATCGACTACTTTGAAAAAACGTTTTTCAGAAAAAATTCTGAAAACAGTTTTTTATAGGGTAGGAAGGGATAGAAAACTTTAAGTCAAATTGAAAGGGGTCGAGGTCAAAAGTGGTCGATTTAACATAAAATACTCCACCTTAAATTCGATTCTGCGGGAAAAAAACATTGATTTCGTTTTATTTTATTTCAAAATAATTTCAATTTTTCTAAACATTATCTTAACATATGGGGCATTCCACGCCAAATCGACCATTTTTGACCCTGACCACTTTTGATTTGGCTGAAAGTTTACCATCCTTTTCTATCCTATCAAAAACGTCTCTCATAATTTTTTTACCCAACCCCAAAAAAGTTACGAATTTTTCAAAAAAACCGTTTTTTTATTTCTAAATTGCCATAACTTTTTCAAAAATTGACTTATCGGGACGTTTTTTTTTTCCAAATTTTTGTTATTAAATGTTCTTTTTGGAAAAAAATATAAAAAAATTATTCAAAGCTATCTTCATCGTTATTTTTAAAATTTTCAGATAAAACTCCGAATTTTTTGATGAATACCATTTTTAGTTTCTTTTTTCTTTTTCTCATTCGAAACTTTGACATTTTCTACAGATATCATGAAATTTTCAGAAAGGTGTTTCTCCGATTTCTATTTTTTCTTTTCAATTAAAAAAAAAAAAATTTTTTCTTTTGTCGTATTTTTCATAAAACCGGTCCAAAAATTTACGGGAATCCTCAAAAAAAAAGTAAAAAGTATAGAACCATCAGTTTAATATGTTAATCATCGAGAAAATCAATTTTTTTTAAAACAAAAGAAATTCAAAAACAACAAAAAATATAGAACTAAAAGTTAACAAGATTAGCTTCTCAGAATTGCTTTTAAAATTATTCATCCTTGTGAAGGCTCAAATCTATTTTCAAATTACTCTAGAAGTCGTCGAGAAACGATAGTTTGCGCCACCAATGAATCCTCCTCATAAAAAAAAAATTAATTAAGTGCCATCATTAGAAACAATACTGTTAAAGAACATTTTTTTGCTTAGCTAAGGAAAATGTCTTTATTAGTTTAAGAATTATTGCATTTCAGACATCATAATCATGTATTAAACCATTTGACAAAACCATTTTAATTATAAAACTTAGAGTATCGGAGAACTGTTCATTTCAACGCCCACCATTCATTAAGCATTAAATAAAAAAAACAATTGTTTTTCAATTTCTTCTTTGATTTAAAAAAAATTGATTTTCTCGATGATTAACATATTAAAATGATGGTTCTATACTTTTTACTTTTTTTTTGAGGATTCCCGGAAATTTTTGGCCCGGTGTCATGAAAAATACGACAAAAAAAATTTTTTTTTTTCAATTGAAAAGAAAAAATAGAAATCGAAAAAACACCTTTCTGGAAATTTCATGATATCTGTAAAAAAATGTCAAAGTTTAGAATGAGAAAAAGAAAAAAGAAACTAAAAATGGTATTCATAAAAAAATTCGGAGTTTTTTCTAAAAATTTTAAAAATAACGATGAAGCTAAAAATGGTATACATAAAAAAATTCGGAGTTTTATCTGAAAATTTTAAAAATAACGATGAAGATAGCTTTGAATAATTTTTTTATATTTTTTTCCAAAAAGAACATTTAATAACAAAAATTTTGAAAAAAAAAACGTCCCGATAAGTCAATTTTTGAAAAAGTTATGGCAATTTAAAAATAAAAAAGCGGTTTTTTTGAAAAATTCGTAACTTTTTTTTGGTTGGGTAAAAAAATTTAAAAAAATTATGAGAGACGTTTTTGATAGGGTAGAAAAGGATGGTAAACTTTCAGCCAAATCAAAAGGGGTCAGGGTCAAAAGTGGTCGATTTGGCGTGGAATGCCCCATATATATCTCATTTTTTTTTGTATATTAGAATAAATTACTATAACTGATACTAGCTATATCATTTAATATTTTGTAATGCTAAAATTTTTCTATCAATATAAGTCTCATGTTTTGTTAAAGCTCCAGAAACTATTTTATGGTGAAAAATTGGAAAATTGTGACAAGGTAACATTTGTCAAGAGTAGTAAGGATACACCCACACGCTATCGCGTAGTGCGAGCAGCAACAATTATTCAGTAAATAAATTAAATTAAATTTACTAGAATCTGTTAGAGTCAATGCTGTTCATAAGCATTAAGTTTCTTATTTATTTCGGTATAAAATATTTAAGAAAAAAATTACTCGTCATCAAGTTTACATTAATGAAAAAAATTTGCTCAAAAAATTAACGAAATTTAAAAAAGAAATTGAATAATTAATATAGGCCCTCGTTTTGTGAAATCAATTTATGGCTTCGAGTCCAGTTACAAATTACAGTCGCGCGCAGTATGTCGATAATAAAATCTGTCAGTTTACTTACGTGTCAGTGATTAACCGAATCGAAGTGATTTCGACACTTGAATTCGTAAATTACGAAATTGATGAATTAATTTAATTGATAAATTTATATTAAGAACAGTGAATCTGATAAAAAAAAAAAAAAAACCAAAACGACTTCTACTAATAATTCAAAAAAAATGGAAGATTTGTCTATCATTTTCTATTTAAAAAAAAAAAAAAAAAACCTTCACAACATTTAAGGTAAAGCCCCAATAGATGATCATATACTGGTACATGATAATCTATTGGGGCTTTTACCTTATTACAATAAAATTAAAAAAGTATAGTTTGTATTCTTATTTTATGATAAAAACAATATTGAACAGTATTTACATAACAGTATTCAGTAGTTTTCACATAATTCACGGTAAAAAGAACATGTAAGTTTGTTGCTATAGATAATTGGGGATTTTATTTCCATCATAAAATGATTTGTTGTAAAATAACAAATTAAATATCTTACTTCGTGACATTTGGAGTGACATTAGCACTAATCACTGAATAGCCGGGAGATAACCCAATCACAGTAATGTTCCAATGGGTATTTCGATCATTCTTTGAGACATTGAACGTGGCAGGTTTTATCTCTAGGATATTTGCATGTTTGGCACTTAAACTGACGCTTATTTGATCTAAAAGTTTGTTTCTGCACAAAAAGTAAAACAAGTTTACGATTTACAACTACTTTGAATTTTAATGTGCTTGTTCCAAACTAAGAGCCCCCATGAAAAAGTAAAGCTCTATCTATTTTCAGCCTTGAAAATTAAAAAAAAAAAAATTAGATCTGTTTTTTTTATATATTTAAGTATTTTTTCTACTAATGAAAGATGACAAATAAACATTTTCTTGATTCGAGAATTGTTTTCTGGATAAGTTAATTTTTTTTAGTATAGAAATTGAATCAAATTCTAAAAAGTTAAATAATTTAAGTAAGACAAATGAAGTTTAGACTTTTGATCAAAAGATTGAATGTAATGCATTTGATTTTTTTTCATTTTCAGTATTATATCTTTTTCATGTTGTGCCTCAAAAGTAACAAATTTCTTTTTTTTAATCTTTTACAATTCTTAATTGAAAGATTTAGCTATAAAATTACATACTTTATGAGAAAAAAGCTAGCACTGCATAGTTTAGGAAATTCAATTTAAAGAACTTTTCAAATTTGGAAAACTGTATAAAATTATTTTATTTAAAACTTAAATTAATTTTTTATCATTAATCCGTCAAAAAGTAGTACAAACAAAAAAAATTTATGAATCATTTCATTTCTTAATTTTAGGCTGAAAATGACTGAAGATCGAGCTTTATTCCCTTTTAATTGACGGCACACAATACTTACGTCAAATATAAATCAAACGTATTACTATCATTGACAACTATTCTTAAATCTTGCCGGTCAACCTTCAAATCAGCCCTCACATATTGTAGGACTAAAAAATTAAATAACAAGACAGTCAGGAAATATTTTTGCTTTATCATCGCAAATTTATCAAGCAAGCGAAACGAGCTTTTATACAGATGAAAATTCAGACTTGTAAATATTAAATAATTAATATTTAAATATTACTGATAATAATATATATATATATATATATATATATATTATGAAACACGATTCGCAAGCCATTGTAGAGTTAAAATTTTAGTAAATTTACTGTACCTTGAAAGAAAAATATCAATGGAAGAATCTTCATAATTTGGAACCCCATTGCCTAAAAATATTTTTAAGATATTAAGCACTTGTTACTCGCCACATCACTAACATACAATTATACAAAATAAGATTGATGGAAATTATAGACGATCGTGTAATGTATTTTGAGAAGAGTGTATTAAAAAATTACAGTTCAGTCTACAGCAAAGTTGTAATAAAAATTACAAAAATAATAAAAGTTTTTTCTTTGTATTAAAATAATAAATTGATAACACCTTAATTGATTTTTATCATCGTAATTATCTAGTAAGAATTGTTAACTATAAAAGTTAATTATTTTTAACGTACAGACTGATACTTATACGATAAGAAAATGACTGATAAGAGGAAAACGATTTAAATCTTGAGTCAGTACTCTAGTACAAAGAAGACGATCAGTTTCCTTCACTACACTAGTTAATTTAGAATAAATTGAACATACATAAATAAATTGCTTGTAGTAAATTATTACTTTTAAATCCTTTATATTGGATAAAATTATGTGCACTTATCAAGTAGGTGTATCCAAACTGGCAAAAGCACTACTGCACGTTATTTTTCGATTTATGAAAATTTATTATAACCGAAACAGGTATATAAACACGTTATGTTTATGTTTATTTTTATTACCACAATCACTGAGGAAATCGTATTGAAGTTGTATTGGTTCGACTGTCAAAGAACGAAACCTGATGAAATCTTTTCTTTCAAGGTGTTGAGTTGCCGACAATCCCCTCCACAATCGCTATCCCCATCCTACAAATGCAATGACAAGCATGATCATAATACTCAACGTCATTTTATTTTATAGACGTCATTTATTATTATACAGTCTACCGATAATATTCGATATCAATTTTAAAAAATGGTCTGCAATCGTGACATCACTCATCGCCAGAAGCAAATTTTATGCAACGGTAAAAAAAATTGGTCAAGATTAAAATGATGATTCGTTACAGTTATCAATTACCTTCTGTTTGAAAACGACCTTTAGTCTTATATAGTTCATTAAAAAAAATTATTATTATTATTATTTATTTTTATTATCATTATTATTATGATTTATAGAACAAAATTACGCCAATTACAAATTTTTCCGTTTTTTAAATTGTTGTTTTTAATTAGATAATTATTTCAAATATCTCTTAATGACAATGAAATACTTTACGTAATCGAAAAACGTTTTAATAAGTTATGGCATGCTATTGATAGAACACGTGAGACTTGATTCTAAAAATTATTATTTTCTTTGGATAACGATTATTGAAAGATTTCGGTTCAAATCTGATGATGTAAAACAATCATTATAATTAAATGAGTTTGTTTATCACCAATGCGGTCAATTATTTTAACTAGTTTTTTTTTTAAACTAATTCAAGTCGAGATGGAGCATTCCATCTTCGCTAAAGATCTTTAACTAGTTAAAGATCTTTAGCGAAGATGGAATGCTCCATCTCGACTTGAATTAGTTTAAAAAAAAAACTAGTTAAAATAATTGACCGCATTGGTGATAAACAAACTCATTTAATTATAATGATTGTTTTACATCATCAGATTTGAACCGAAATCTTTCAATAATCGTTATCCAAAGAAAATAATAATTTTTAGAATCAAGTCTCACGTGTTCTATCAATAGCATGCCATAACTTATTAAAACGTTTGATAAAAAAAAAAAAATTTTTTTTAGATGTCAAATTTTTTTGTTAAAAAAAATTTTTTATAAAAATCTTGAAAACTAAAAAACTAGAGATGTTTTTCTTCGAATTGTTTGTTTTTACTTGTGTAAAATACCGAAAATAATAAAAATAGGTATATGTTTTTTATTTAAGTTAAAATGCTAATTATTAAAAATTATGAACAAATAAATTTTTATCTAAAAACGCTCAACGGTACTATGATATGTTATATGTGTTGATGAATACGTAAAAGTGATAGTTAAAAAGTATGATGTCTATTTTTTACGACTGTTATCAACGGAATTCATAATTCTTCAGAAATTGAAAAAATCAACAATTGTTAGTATTTGTTTTGAATATATTCATCTATAGAGATATTTTATAAAAGAAGTTAATATTAATGATGACTATTTAAAAAAATTAGGTCGATTAGTTTCTATTGACATAGATTTTTTACAAATTTTTCTTACAAAAAAACTTAAAACTCTAGTAATTAAATGATAAAAATCATGAATTATTTAAGAAAACCACAATATGACAGTTTGAAAGTAAGCTACTGATAATTTACTCATTGAATAATCTTTCTCATAAAACATAATATTTGTTTCGATCATCTTGACTTTTGAACAGGAAATTAAAACTCTTTCGCGATATAGGGCGTGCAATTTTGGCTTCTGTAAATTCAGGCAGTTGTGTCACACCAAAGAAATTTTTAGAAATCTTCCAAACTTAAAATATAACTCATTAAATACATAATGCACTCGCTGTAGAAGACGATTTACCGCATCTAAGAAAAGATAATTGCAATTGAAAATAACATTTTTACACAGGTGGTATGAAAAAATAACGAGAAAATGATAAATTTATATTTCTTACTTCCCGCTATGAAAATCAATGATTTTAAAAAATTGGGAAGCTATTTTTACTAGCATTTGAATGTTGTACTCTCGATTTACCACTTAAAGTGAATTTTATTCAGATTCAAATAGATCTATTCTCACAATTTTTTAGATCTACGTCGATGAAAAACATAAAAACTATTGAATATAGCAGGTTCGAAAAGCTGATAATCATTTTAAGCAAAAATTTTTAATGTCAGTATACGTGTGTGTGTGTGTGTGTGTGTGTGTGTGTGTGTGTGTGTGTGTGTGTGTGTGTGTGGTGGTTGATGTCTATTTTTTACGACTGTTATCAACGGAATTCATAATTCTTCAGAAATTGAAAAAATCAACAATTGTTAGTATTTGTTTTGAATATATTCATCTATAGAGATATTTTATAAAAGAAGTTAATATTAATGATGACTATTTAAAAAAATTAGGTCGATTAGTTTCTATTGACATAGATTTTTTACAAATTTTTCTTACAAAAAAACTTAAAACTCTAGTAATTAAATGATAAAAATCATGAATTATTTAAGAAAACCACAATATGACAGTTTGAAAGTAAGCTACTGATAATTTACTCATTGAATAATCTTTCTCATAAAACATAATATTTGTTTCGATCATCTTGACTTTTGAACAGGAAATTAAAACTCTTTCGCGATATAGGGCGTGCAATTTTGGCTTCTGTAAATTCAGGCAGTTGTGTCACACCAAAGAAATTTTTAGAAATCTTCCAAACTTAAAATATAACTCATTAAATACATAATGCACTCGCTGTAGAAGACGATTTACCGCATCTAAGAAAAGATAATTGCAATTGAAAATAACATTTTTACACAGGTGGTATGAAAAAATAACGAGAAAATGATAAATTTATATTTCTTACTTCCCGCTATGAAAATCAATGATTTTAAAAAATTGGGAAGCTATTTTTACTAGCATTTGAATGTTGTACTCTCGATTTACCACTTAAAGTGAATTTTATTCAGATTCAAATAGATCTATTCTCACAATTTTTTAGATCTACGTCGATGAAAAACATAAAAACTATTGAATATAGCAGGTTCGAAAAGCTGATAATCATTTTAAGCAAAAATTTTTAATGTTAGTATACGTGTGTGTGTGTGTGTGTGTGTGTGTGTGTGTGTGTGTGTGTGTGTGTGTGTGTGTGTGGGGTGCTTTTTAAGATATTATCGAAATGATAATCCTTCTACTCATATCTGTGAATAAAATATTTATAATTATTGACACCATGCACCTCACGCTTTTTTTTACAATAAAATACATTTTTTTCTTATTTACACTATTATTTATTTATATTTGTTAAAATTTTTACACTATTCTTAAATCAGAGTTATTTTCTATTCTTCAGTTTGGTTTTCTATAAAAAGCGTGTTGTTAAGTTTTTTTAAACTATTATTTATTTTCGTCAACAATAACTCACAAACGAATCAATTGATTTTGACCGGCTTGGCGGTGATCAACGTGGTTTTTTGATATTAAGTGCTGATTAGTTTTTGGAATCGATCGATAAGGCCGTTTAAAAGTTATTTAAAAAATTTTTGTTTCGTAGTTTTTTTGAGATTTCTCAAAATTTACAGACACACGCGCGCACGCACACGCGCACGCACACGCGCACGCACACGTGCACACACACATACATACAGATTAGGGTGGTCGTTAAAAATTAAATTTTTTCTAACACCTAAAAAAATCCTTCTTTTTGACGAAAAACTACGGGAAAAATTTTGCTTTTCGATTTTAAACAAAAAAAACACGTGCCGACGGTCAATTGAAGTTCATTTTTCGATAAAATTATAGTTTTTTAAAATATTTGTCACAGTATTAAGATTTGGCAAAAAATCTTGAAAACAGGCTTGTAGGAATTTAAATTCTCTACAAAACGGTTTCTTTTGGTTTGAGATAAAGTTCATATCCATCGAGATAATCTTATTAGTAAACTTATAAACTCTGTTGTCAGTTATTTTTTAGCAATAAAAACTTTATTTTTCCAGAAATATGAACAATTCTCTCAAAATATTCTAAATTTTAGATATTTTCTTCATATTTTGACATGAGTGAATGATTTTCAATTTAATAATTTTCAAATGAAATCTCTATCGGTAAGTTATCTATGATCAATCTTGTTCATATTTTCACTTGGGAGAGTTGAGCGTCTTTCCGTAAGGTCTAGACTATTAAATTGGTCTAAATCTGTAAATTAAAATTAAATAATGTTGTAAAGCGGGAAAGAAGAGGAGTTACGGTTATTATTACGTGAAGTGTTCCACATTCACGCAACAGGATAATTAGGACCAAATGATTAAGAAAGGAATTGGAAAAGACATTCTTAATGTGAGTTTATAGAATAAGCGAAATGAAATTTTTCATATTTCCGGAAAAATAAAGTTTTTAATGCTAAAATGACCGAATTAATAGAGTTTATAAGTTTA